CTTGAATGTTGTAATTGGTTCTGATGGTGTTCAGAAAAGGCTCCCTAGCCAGAACAAAGAGGAGGGGTGATAAGGGCCATCCCTGTCTAGTGCCATTGCTAATCTGAAACAAAGGCGAGTTCTGCCCATTAACCCTAACCGTGACCGTAGGTCTCCTATATAGTGTCTGTACCCAGTGCCTGAAATTAGGTCCCAGCCCCAAGTGTTTCAAGGGTAGAAAAGAGGTAATCCCAATCTACTCTGTCGAACGCCTTTTTGGCGTTGACTGAGAGCAAGAGAGTTGGGGTTTTATTATGATTTATTTATAATTTATTATTTATTTATGATTCCTGGGGTATTATGCCTGGCCTTTTGATCTGGTACAAACCCTGCCTGATCTGAAAATCTTAAGATCAATGTTGATCAGGGAGATGGCAATACTGTGATCGATGCGTTCAACATCGGGGGTGGGAGATCTGCATGAAGCGGTAAGCTGTTAAGTACCTCCAGGTACTGTTGTGCCAATATGTGTAGGAAGTACCGGGCTGTCAGTCCGTCAGGGCCTGGACTTTTGCCTTTCGGTAGGGTTGCTACTGCTGTCTGCAGTTCCTCCTCCGTGATAGGCATTTATAAAAGAGATATTTGTTCTGAGTCTAGTATTCTCGATAAATTAGCTATTATGTAGTCTTTAATCTTGGGAAGGGGGTAATTCGGGGGACCTAAGTTATATATAAGTTGCCATAATAGTCACAGAAAGCTCTCGCTATGTCCTTTGTTGTGTCATGTTGAGTCCCATCTGCCGTTTTTTATTTGTGCGACATATGTCTTTTGATGTTTGTCTTTTAGTGCTCTGGCCAACTATTTCCCACTTTTATTCCGTGTGCATAGTATGTCCCTGTAGTCAGGTGGACTGCTCTGTGTGCTTTTTCCTATGAGGAGACTACGCACCTCCACTCTAAGCGCCGTTAGGCGTTTATAGGCTTCCGTTGAGGGATTAGATATGCGAATCGATTCTGCTGTGTGAATAGCATTTGTAAGTGATTGGATCTGCGCTGCTGCTCCTTTTTTATGCGAGCCCCCCATTTGATCAGGATCCCTCAAGTTATACCCTTGTGAGCCTCCCATACCCAGGAGACCGCAGACCCCTTATTTTTGTTTTCCAGAAAGTACAGGGCAAGAGATTTATTCATTTCTTCTGTCACCCTCGAGTCGTCTAGCAGGGATTTGTTTAAGCGCCAGGTGGTGCTGTTCTTACTGGTCCATGTAATGGATAGCGGGAGGAATATTGAGGCATAGTCAGACCATGTGATAGGACCAATCAAGGCATCTCTAAGTAGGTG